GCTGTTTTAAAGAGTACCTGAGCTCCCTTTATATTAATAGAACAATAATGTCATTGTTAGCTAATGAATGTTTCCATGGTGACCAACGGCAACATGACAACGTTTTCATTGGTCCCTCTTCTTTAGAGAAGACCAGGAAATGATGGATACACGGATCGTGTTCAAATCAATAGGCACGCAATGACTCTAAATAATAATGATCACGCCACCAAACACACATTCAGACTAAAGGAACCAGCCTGTTTGGAAAATGTGAGAAGTAGAAAGTACAGGTGTTTGTGTTCAACATGTAAGAAGTAGAAAGTACAGGTATTTGGGTTCAAAATGTAAGAAGTAGAAAGTACAGGTGTTCAACATGTAAGAAGTAGAAAGTACAGGTTTTGGTTCAAATGTAAGAAGTAGAAAGTACAGGTATTTGGAAAATGTAAGAAGTAGAAAGTACAGGTATTTGTGTTCAAAATGTAAGAAGTAGAAAGTACAGGTATTTTTTTATATTTAAGAAGTCAAAGTAAAAAGTCTGAAAAATAAGTAGTGGAGTAAAGTACTGATACCAGAAACATGTACTTAAGTACAGTAACAAAGTATTTGTAAGAGTCTCTGATGGGTTGGGGAATACATATAAAAACGTGTCTAACGCTCGTGTTTCCTCACATCTCCAGCCAGCGCTTCGAACAGTCGTCTCAGGCCTTTCTCCTCGTCCGTCTCCTCGTCAGGTTCAGAGGGCATGGGCGGCTGGAGAGAACAACAACAACAACACGGCATCAGAACAACAACACAGGATGATGAGGTAATAGATAATGTTTCATATTGAATCCTGGGTGAAACACTCACATCTGGCAGGTCAGCATCGACAGTGCTCCCCATCTCCCTGCAGGACAGAAACAGAAGATGAGATGGACATTCAGTTTTAAGGGATTGCAGAAAGATTGTTTGTCATTTTTAACAAACTACTGGGTGAAGAAACTCATATCTGTCATTGAACAAAACCCTGAAGCTTCTGTGGGAACTTGTAAAATGCTTTAAACCCACATCGATTATTTAATAAGATAAGATAAAACAGACCTTTATTAATCCCGTGTGGAAATTCAGGAGTTTAAGCAGCAACAGGGTGAGAGTGAAAATAGGGGTTCTATTAAATACAAATGAAAATCTAATAAATATTAAGCATAAGAAATAAAATGTGGACAAAAGTATCCTTAATGAAGTTATGATCTTGGTGTTTCCCACCCGTTTTTACACATTAGTGCAGAAATGTCACGTATCATACATATTATATCTTTTAGGGGTCATTCTTTAAAATTCTCCTTGTATTTTTACACATAGCGAAACCAAAATGTTACATAAAATATCTTTAAAAAGTCCATTATTTTAAATACTCTTTGCGTTTTAACACATAATAATGTAGTTGTAATATATTATATCTTTAAGCGCAATTATCTTTTATTCTCTTTGCATTTTTACACATATTTGTGCGGAAATGTTCAATATTATATCTTTACGGTGTTATTAATTAGAATTATCGTTACGTTTTTACAGATAATTGTGTCAAGATGTTGCATAAAATGTCTTAAAGGGTCAATTATCTTAAATGCTCTGTGATATTACACATTATAGTATGGTATAATACATCAAGTCAAATTCCTCGTACGTGTCAACCTACCTGGTGATAAACCTGTTTCTGATTCTGATAACTCTTTTTGCATTTTACACATTGTAAAGTAAACAGCATTGAGTCCTTCACTGATGCAACACTCACAGAGTCCCGGCCTTCTTCTCGGAGAAGATCCTGATGATGAAGTCGGCCTCGTGGTGCGGCTGGAAGGTCGTAGGAACCAGCAGATATTTCCCCGGAGGCAGAGTGAAGCGCTCGGAGATCTCCCGCATGTTGACGTAGGTCTTGCTGCGAACCTTGGAGGGGTGGTAGCGGAAGAAGTCTTTCCCCGCCTGGTCCTGGTCGTCTGGAGCCTGAACGCAGAGAGAGAAGAGTCAGTATCTGCTTTAAACTGCACTGAATGAGCTGGGTGAAACTTACGTTCAGATATTAGTACACACAAATTGTGAGGGAATAATTCTGTCTTTACGCCGAGATATTTAACCTTTTCTGTGTGTTGACATTTACGACCAACCCTGGCTTGTATCCCTAAGGAATGGGAGGCTCCAGCTATCTTGATAAACCAGTTATCGGGCCAGCTGTTTAGTCTATCTCCCCAAATATGTTGTTTACTCTCTCTGAACTAGTTAAAAGGTCTATCGAGAGAGAGGCGCGGCAGATTTGACATGGCAACCCACCAGGGCAGTCAGAATCTCTGGCTGTGTGACTTGTGATGTGAATTTCTCAGGACGATACTTGTAAATAAATATCAGTGTTTGACATCAAAGCTCCAACTCTCCTTGTGTCTCTCTGAGTCCTGATA